GCAGGCAGCTGTGGTGGTTTCCAGACCTCTCAACCCACAAATGTCAAAGACAATTTAGAAGGTCAGTTGGAAAAGTCTGTGTCTGAGGCGGTGAGAAAGAGAAGCAAGGTGGTCTCAGCCCCAGTTCCTGAGCACGGCCCTGAGGCGGCAGCTGCCTCCTGAGGTTCCGGCCCATAGACTGAGGGGGAATCAAATGGCTGATCAGAGGGAGACTGCAGGGATCTCTCTGCTGGTGCAGGATTCTCTTGCTTTTTTGCCCGTGCTTAGATCTGGATCATAGCTCTGGGTGACGGTCCTGGGGGCGAGGAGAAGTGTTGGCATGGTGGAGCTTGTAGTGGTGGTGCAGAGGAACTCCTCCTCACAGTTCCAAGACAGAAAATAGTGCCTGTGGTCACTCACAGACCAGAGCACAGGCCAGGAAAGGAGTAAACACCTCGCCTTTGATCATAGCACCTTGGAAGAAATGAAAACAGCTGTACAAACCCCCCCGAAGCTTGGGACAGTACATTCTTCACACTGGAAACAGGCGCCTACCTTAACAAAGAGTTTATAACTCAAGTAATTGGTCAAGATCATGAGCAAGCAGCGCAAACAGAGTCAGACTATATTATCTTACTTTGGTGACAAAGAAGATCAAAACATACAACCAGAAGAAGATAATGAAGCCAAAGCTCCTATATCCAAAGCCTCCAAGAAAAATATGAATTGGTCTCAGGCCATGGAAGAGCTCAAAAGGGATTTTGAGAGGCAAGTAAGAGAAGTAGAGGAAAAACTGAGAGTGATGCTAAAGGAGACCAAAAAAAAATACTGAAGAAAATATCACCTTAAAAAATAGCCTAACCCAAATGGCAAAAGAGGTCCAAAAATCCAATGAGGAGAAGAATGCCCTAAAAAGAAAAATTGGCCAAATGGAAAAGGAAGTCCAAAAGCTTGCTGAAGAAAATACTTCCTTAAAAATTAGAATGGAGAAATTGGAAGCTAGTGACAATTTGAGAAATAAAGGCACTGTAACACTAATCCAAAAGACTGAAAAAATAGAAGAGAATGTGAAACATTTTCATTGGAAAAACAACTGACCTGGAAAATAGATCCAGGAGAGAGAATTTAAAAATCATTGGACTATATGAAAGCCATGATCAAAAAAAGAGCCTAGACACCATCTTTCAAGAAATTATCAAGGAAAACTGCCCCGATATTTTAGAACCAGAGGGCAAAACAGAAATTGAAAGAATCCACAGATCTCCTCCTGGAAGAGATCCCAAAGGAAAACTCCTAGGAATTGTACAGCCAAATTCCAGAGTTCCCAGGTCAAGAAGAAAATACTGCAAGCAGCCAGAAAGAAACAATTCAAGTACTGTGGAAACACAATCAGGATAACACAACATTTAGCAGCTTCTACATTAAGGGTCCAGAGGGCATGAAGTATGATATTTCGGAGGGCAAAGGAGATAGGACTACAACCAAGAATCACCTACCCAGCAAAACTGAGTATACACTCCTTTAGGGTAAAAAATAGTCATTTGACGAAACAGGGGACTTTCAAGCATTCCTGAGGAAAAGACCAGAGCTGAATAGAAAATCTGACTTTCAAATACAAGACTCAAGTGAAACATGGAAGACGTAAACAGGAAAGAGAAATCATAAGAGACTTATTAAGGTTGAACTGTTTACATTCCTGCAGGGAAAGATGATATTTGTAACTCATGAGTCCTTTGTCAGTATTAGGGTAGTAGGAGGGGAAAAAATTATTATGTATGTATAGATAGATATATGGAGGGCACAGGGTGAGTTGAAGATGAAGAGGTGATATCTGTAAAATAAAATTAAAGGGTGAGAGAGGATTATACTGGGAGAAAGAGAAAGGGAGAAGTAGAATGGGGTAAATTATCTCACATGAAACAGACAAGAAAAGGCTTTTACAGTGGAGGGGAAATGGGGGAAGGTGAGACGGAATGAGTAAATCTTATTCTCATAGGATTTGGCTTAAGTAGGGAATAACATACACAATGAGGTATGGGAATCTATCTTACCCTACAGGAAAATAAGGGGAGAAGGGGACAAGAGAGCAGAGAGTTGATAGAGGGGAGGGAAGACTGGGGAGGGCATAATCAAAAGCAAACAGTTCTGAGGAAGAACAGGGTCAAAAGAGAGAATAGAATAAATGGGGGGGTAGGATAGGATGAAGGGAAATATACTTAGTTTTTCACAACAGCACTACCATGGAAGTGTTTTGCATGACTACACATCTATAACCTATATCGAGACGCTTGCCTTTTCAATGAAGGTGGGTGGGGAGGGAGGAAGGGAGAAAATTTGTAACCCAAAGTTTTAAAAACATATGCTAAAAATAAAAAAGAAAGAAAAAAAAAAGTATAGTGGCTGAAAAGAATGATAGGAAATTGAAAAGGATATGAGAGCAGGCTAAATTACTTTTAGGCAGCCTATTACTACTAAAGCATTAGAGCCCCAACTCCACTTGGGCAGTAAGGAGAGAAGAGAAGCACCTGTTTTCCTCACAATAAAACCCTAAAATCCAGACTCTTATCTCCTGCTGAAACTGCCTCCAGCTAAGAATCACTCAAGAAGACATGACTGTGATGCAAAAGGTAAAGAGCAACTACCATCAGGAAAATGAACACTAATCCTATGGTCATACAAAAATAAAAAATGCCATAACTAGACACATTGAATATAGTCAATGAGTCCTTTTAAGACATCTGAAATCATCAAGTATGAATGGGCTAGTAACCCTCTAACCCCTACATCATAATGCATTCGATGACCATAAACACAGAGTTCATGTGAGGGAGGTCAAGAAAAAACTGGGAAACAGCCAGTGATACAATTTGGCTAGACTATAGGAACTGCAAAGGAGGGTACTATAAAATAAGGTTGAAAAGGTAGTCTGGAGACAGACTGGAGAAAGTGTTATATCAGACAAAAAAGTTATGTTTCTTCCTATAATAAGAGTTAGGGAGACGCTAGAGTTTCTTGCACCCATTAAGAGTAATATAGTCAGACCAGGAGAGTAGGAAGATTATTTTGGCAGGTGTGTCAAAGATGAAATAGAGATGATAAACACTAGAGGCTGGGAATCAGGAGGCTATCATAAGAGTTTAAGAGAAAAGAAATAAAAGTCTAAATGAGGATAGAAGTTTGAGTGGATAGGAAAAGTGAGATTTAAGAAATATTTTCTATATACTTTCATATAAATGTTTCAGTACACACATACAGAAATCTGGGTATCTATATATTTCTACATATATGTATGTATTATGTACATACATATATAAAATATATTTATATCTACACAAAAACAACTTATACACACACACACACACACACACACACACACATACCCCTATATTTGAAAAAGGCTGATTATTTTAAATCAGAAAAGGGTATGACACCATGTCTTAGAAACTTTAAGTGAAAATACAGCTCAAGAGGGATAAAAAGCTTTCCAAAATTACAACTCTGAATGTAAAAATCACAAAACATTCAAAATGAAGAAAAAATTGATGCATCTAAACTAAATGCTCTCTACTATGCTTGTATTTTCGAAAGAGTTATAAAGAAAGAGAAGGGGTGGGGATAAGGAAGAGAGGAATAGATCAAATCTAAAATAAGGCTTCCAGAAAAACAACTAAAATGAGACAGGAAGCTTTAAAAGTACTCTTTTTTCCCTCCTGATCAAGACAACTAACCAGGAAGGGCTAGGACCACTTGTGGGGGAAGATGACATGGGGTTTATGGGAGAGAATGCACAATTATTTCCCAACTCTTTCACTTCAGTATTTCACAACAAGGAAAATGGTCTTCAAAAGTGAAATAATAAAATAAAACAACCATACAGAAAATGAAGATGAGTGAGGAGATAAGAAGAGAGCACTTAAGCTGAAAGTAGGATCCCTATTTACAAAAAGGGGGAAAGACTGTATTCTAAAAACTAATGATTGGAAAACTAGTGCCTGGAAAACTTACAGTTGATTCCCAGAAAAACTCCAGCATGAATTATTACAAAAGATAGATTGTGATTACTGAGAAAAGAAAGCAGTACACATTAGTATCTGGTTTAGGTTCATAAAGAACAACTTATGCCAATGTAACCTTTCTTTTTTTTTTTTTTTTGGTGCTTGGCAACATGAATAAAATGGTGATCTGTGAAATACTATACCAGAGTGGATCTTGATTTCAATGAAGTGCCTCAAGATATCCTTATAGAGAAGATGGGAAAAGATGGCTAGATGATTCAGTCAGGTATGGACACCTAGCTATTTAAATAACTTATCCCAGATAGTGCTGAATTGGAGCAGAGCATAAAATCTACAAAATCATGTACTTATGCTATCTCCATAAAATCACTCTACACACTGTTTGTTGATCAAAGCTTGGACTCATGTAGTTCAGAGTATCTTTTTGTACCTTTTTCTCCATCCCCTATCACCTACTTCACATCACATGCAACTCTTTTTTTCCAAAGCCTAAATTCCAAAGTTCATTCTCTACGTTCTTGAGGCTCTCCAACTAGCATTTATTCAGGACATTTAAAATGATATGGTAGGTTTATTCCTAAGCAGAAGAAGAATATAATGAAAGCAGCACTTTAAGACTTATCTAATTTTTTTTGAGGAAGTGCAGAAGAACAGGCTAATCAACTAGAAGGCTACAGCAATATTGTAGATATGAAGTGATAAGAACAGAAGAAATGAAAATGGACAGTGAGACATTGCAAATTTAGTGACTGACTCGATAGAGAGGATAACAATGAGAGATGAGTTATCTTTTGAAAGATGATTTCAAAAGTTCCAAGGCTAGGCATCTCTCTCAGTTTCTACACCTGAGAAACAAGGATATTAATGTCTTCCTTTCCCTATAGGGTTATAAAAGGATCAAATGAAAAAGTGCTACACAAATATATTAATATTGCATCAATGACAACAACAAAAACTCATGCTAACAACATAACTAAAATAATCTGACACTTGACAAAGACACACCTTCTACATCATTCTCTGTACTTGTTTCACTGAAGCTTTTCCATCGTTCCTTTGCTCTGGAGAGGAAAATTTCATAAAGTTCTGCAAAAGAAAAATACAGACAAGCAAAAACAAAGTTTAAGACCAAATAACAAGAATGAAACACTTATATTCAAATACTTACTCAATAACCTCACATTTATGACAGTAGATAAGAAATTGAAACTTTCCTAGTCCAACAGTGATGTAATTGCTAAAGCCCTTCGTTTCCACAATCCTCTCTGACTTACACATTCAGTCATCCAACAAGAATCCAGTAAGTACTTAACAATACACAGAGAACTGTGCCAGATGCCCATGCAATGGAACACCAGAAACAATCAAACAGGCTGCTGCTGAAAGAGCACTTACAAAGCAGAAGGGGTTACAGCTGACGTGCATGTCTTCTGCCTGTCTCGTGGTCACCCAATGGACACTACTATCGCCTACAGGAAATTACCAACAATTCATGAAGCTGGGTAGCTCAATTGATAGAGAGCTGGACCTGAAGTGAGCAACAACTGAGTTTAAATACTGCTTCAGACACTGCAGTATGACCCCGGGCAAATTCTTTAACATTTCTCAACCTGTTTCTTCATCTGTAAAATGTGAATAATAATACCACCTACTTCACAAGATTGTTTTGAGAATCAAATAAGATACATACAAATATGTGTAAAGTATCCGGCAACCCTCAAAGTGCTATTTAAATGTTAGCCATTATTAATATTTTGGTTTGTTAGGTAGTCTTTGGCTATTTGAAAAGACTCCCTCAAACTACCATCAGCCAATTAATTAATTGACCAATGTGGTTACACTTTAACTTCTTGGAGGGAAGGGACCGCAATTGTTTTCATCTTTCTATTCCCAGTCCCTAGCACAGTGCCAGGCACATAGGAAGAACTTACTAAATGCCTCTTGATTAAGCAACTATTAAGTGCCAGGCGCAGTGCTAGGTGATGAAAAGACAAAAAACCTTCCAAGTGCAAGAGGAGGACATGATTCTATAAGGAAGAATCAACATGTACATAAATAAGAATGCGTGTAAAACGATGTCCGAGCTCGTCAGGAATGGCTTCATGCAGAAAGTGGTGCCTGCCCTTAGCTCTGAAGGAAAGCAGGGGTTCTAAGATGCAGAGATAAGGAGAACATTCTAAGCGCAAGGTAGGGAATCCAACGCAAAGGCATAAGGAGATGAAGCAGTCCCTGGACAGCCAGTCTAGCTGGATCATACAGTGTATTCAGGGAAAAAATGTATAATAATTCTAAAAAGACAGGTTAGAGCCAAACCACGAAGGGTTTTAAATGCCACAAGGAGTATTTTACATTTGGTTATAAAGAAAAAAAGAAGCTATTGTTGTTTATTGATCAGTTTGTTATCAAAAAGATAGGTAAATTATTTTGTAAATCTTGAAGTGACATGTAAATCTTAACTATTTTAATTTTCAGTAGAGGACAGAGTGATATTTACACTTTAGAGCAATCACTTTGGGAAATGCGTGAAGGACAGAACAGCAAAGAGAGAGACTTGAGATGAGACCACTAAGGAGACTTTCATTAATCAAGAGGAGAGATGACAAGAACCTAAACTAGAGTTAGACAGAGGGGGAAAGGCTCAAAAGATATTGTGGAGATATAGTAGAATTGTCAAAACTTGGCGACTGGATATGATGTGCAGTCAAAGATGACTCAGAGGTTATGAACCTGAGTGAACAGAAGGATGATGGTGCGCTTGATAGAAACAGGGAAATTTGGAAGAGGGATGGGTTTTGAAAAGGAAAGATAATGAGTTCTGTTTTGAACATATTGAGTTTAGACACCACAGGAGATCCAGTATGACAGTTGGTGATATGGGACTGGAGCTCAAAAGAGAAATTAGGACCATGGGAATACAGATTCAGGGCTAAAAGGGACCTCAGACACCATCTAATCCACCCCCTTCATTTTTATTACAGATGAGGAAACTGAAACCCAGGGAGGTTAAGCGATATGTTCAAGGTCATACATTTGGTGAGCATCAGAGGCAGGTATCATGCTAGCTCCAGGGAATTGTCTGCATAGAGAAGATAATCCAACCACAGGAGATGATCAGATCACCAGGAGACTGAATATAGAGAAAGAAGAGAAGAGGTCCCAAGACAGTGTTAGAGTATACCCACAAGATAGGTAATGATCCAAAGAAGCAGAACATGAAGGAGAAGCCACACACGTAGTAAGAGAACCAGGAGTGGTGCCATGAAAACTCAGAGGGTGCCCAGGAGCCCAAAGGAGTTGACAAGTGTCAAATACAGAACTGAATAAGGATGAACTCTGAAAAAAGTCACCAGATACAGAATTAGTAATTTTGAAGAGATCAAGTGATTGATAAGATAAAGTATAAAGTCAGACGACAAAATTTTTTTCATGACAGGGGAACTATGAGCATGTTCAATGGCAACAAGGAAAGAGTCAGTAAAAAGGGAGAAATTAAAGATGAGGCTTGGCAGTAAGATTATGGATGCAATTTGCTGGAGGAGATAAAAAAGGGAAGAGGATCAAGACTACACAGAGGATCTGGTCCTGGCAAGAGGACTAGATACTTCAGAAACTGGAGAAATTAGGAGGAGAGAATAAGGGAATGATGTCTAGGTATTTTGATAGAAAAGGAGGAGAAGAGGAAGTTATCAGGTGAATGTACTCTGTTTTCTCAGTAAAGTAGGAGTTGAGGTCCTCTGCTAAAAGGGTTGGGAAGGGTGGTGTAGGAGGCTTGAAAAGAACAACTCAGGAAGGGGAGTGGGATAAAGAATAAGGCAAGATGGAGTGAAGGAGTAGGAAAAAGGGCTGCAGTGAAGCATCAATTGAAATTAAATAACAAACTTGTAGTGGACTCAGTCAGCACCATCTGTAACTTCCTTGAACACACATCATCAATACATGAGCAGGAATGGAGGAAGCAGATCCATGGATGGATTGTGGGAAGGGATGAGGGACATTAGGACAAGGGTGTGAGGGATCTGAGAGCAAAGGAAAATATAAGGTTAAACTGGTTAACTACTGGGTCAATATTAGGAAGAAAAGAAAGTGAATCTAGTAGGAGTGATGGCCTAGAAGCCTACCAAGGGTACAGTGAAATACTGCATTCCTTACAGCCTTCAGTCAATTGTGGGATGGCAAACATTCTACTATGGGTTATCACTTGTGAAACTCTCATCAAAGAAGCCCTCCTTCATTGTATGAACAGAAGAAGGTGAGAGCTACCTTTATAATCTCTGACATTCTTGCTTCCCTTTCCACTAACTGCCACTATCCCAGACTTCATTACCTCTTACATGGACTTTTACAACAGCTTTTTTTTTTTTAAAGGCAATTGGGGTTAAGTGACTTGCCCAGGGTCACACAGCTAGTAAGTGTCAAGTGTTTGGTCTGAGGCCGGATTTTATAACAGCTTCTTAACTACTGTCCTTGCCTCTTATTCTCCCCTCTCTAACTCATGTTTCCCATGGCTGTCAAAGAAATCTTCTTATTGCAAAAGCCTGATCATATCATTTCTACATCTAAAAACCTCCAACACATTCAAACTGCTTAGTAAATAGAATATGGGCTCTTCAGTGTGGTACTCATTGGCCTCGAGAATGCCTCTCCAGCTTTATTACCTACTTTTCCTATTCATGCATGACCAGCTCCTCCTTAATCTTTTCCTGCCCTTTTCTTCCGTGCCTATGTACACTATCCTTCAGGTTTGAAATGATGGCCTTCCCCATCTTGACCTGCTGAAATCTTTCAAGTTCTACTTCTGATGTTTTCCATCTCTGAAAAGTTACTCTAGCTTTCAAGATATGTGATCTTACCCATCTTAAGCCTCAAATACCACTGTCTGGACACCTTCTGTACTTATGATATTGTAATTGGCTTTATGAATGAATGAAAAAGCCTTTATTAAATCAGAAGAGCCAAGCACAGCAACTGACACAAAAATCTGCTCTGTTCTTGGAGATATTCTCAAAATTCTAGTCCTTCTAGTGTTAAGTGCTTACTATATCCTAAGCACTTAAATGCTTAGGCATATTTAAATAGGAAAATCAAGACAATTCCTGCTCTCAAGGAGTTCACACTCTAACTGGAGAATACACTGCAGTTTAAATAAACAAACAAACAAATAAATAAAACACTGAATTTGCAGTCAAGAGAACCTGGCTTCACATCTCCTGTCATGATCACTTATGATCTTGAGCAAGGCACTTTCCATTTCAGTTTCCTCAACTAAAAAATAAGAATGGTGCTATAGGATATTTAAATCTATACTCCTACCCACCTCTACCCCACCTCCTTTCCCAACTAAATTACAAATTCTCTGAGGGCAGAGACTGCATCCTGCTTCAATCTTTGTATCCCCAGTGCCTAGAATAGTATGTAATGTATAGCAAATGCTTAATGTCCTTTGAATTTAACTGAACAAACAAAATATTACTGATATCATATATACTGGTATATGTGGGAACATGAAATACAAACCAGGAGTGATATTGAGTTCATTTCCCACAGCGAGACTCCATACTTTCCCACGAACACTAGGGGGCAGTCCTTGCCACCACAATTCTCGAACTCTTCTTGTCCCACGCCTTGAAATAAAGAAGAAAAAAAAGAGAATGTTATTTAATAGCGAAACTAATAGTTACATCATGACTTACGGAGTCTACAACTTTTGGGAAGAATGCAATGCATTCATTCTTTAGATTTCATGTTATCAAAGGACAAAAACCTACAAAAGTATAGCATTTCAAAGGGGAGCAGTGATTATTTTTGAGAATTGTGTTCTATAATTATGGCTGGATTCAAACTACATAGCTAGAGTCAAAAGACAGATGAGAAACAAGGAAAAACTGGAAATAAGATGCATAAAATATATTATTTACAGGAAATTCTGCTTACTTACATTCCTTCCCAATTTGGTAGTATCTCATTGACCCATATCACCATCGCACTTGCGATATTTTCTTCTTGTTTAAACCGTTCTTTCATTATTTGTTTTCTTTTATGTGCTTCTTTGATTTCTGCATTAAACATTAAAGAACTTAATCATTTTAAATAAGCCATTTTAAAACTCTCTAACTTTATAATAAAAGTTACTTCTAACTCTATAAAGCTGCAGTTTTTTAAAGTTTTCTGATTACAGGAGTAAAGAGAAAAATATTCAATTTTCATAATATTTAGCATTTCATAACTAGCAGTGGAAGGAAGCTAAGAAAACATCTAGTCTAATACTTTCATTTTAAAAGAAACTGAAGCTCAGTGATATTAAGTGACTAAGTCCAAGGTCACATAGCTTGTTAAGGGCAGAGCTGGGATTAGAAACCAGGCTTCTTGTAAGTGTAACATTTTTTCAACTATGTTATATACTGTTCTCTTCTCTCCTGGACTTAAAAAAAAAATCGACATCTACAAATTTGTTTATCAAAGGACCAAAAGTACCAAGGATAATTTTAATAATATAGCTTCCTAATTCTACATTATAAAGGCTGACTCACTGGGAGGAATGAACAGGGAAAATGTAGGCCCCAAAAAAAAAACACAAAAGACATTAAAAAATATCTATTAAAAATGTAACTTCCTGGGGCAGCTAGCTGGCACAATGGATACAGCTATGGCCCTGGAGTCAGGTGGACCTAAGTTCAAATCCAACCTCAGACATCTGACACTTACTAGCTATGTGACCTTGGGCAAGTCACTTAACCCCAACTGCCTCACCAAAAAGCAAAAGCAAAAAAAAAAAAGTAACTTCCTTAAGAAGATACCCTTCTTTTACACTGATATACAACTTTTTACTAGAATTACACAGAGTTCAGTAAGTCAATGACATTAAAACCATCATACAACTAAACTGGTATGTTTACCACTTTTTTGTTGTTGTTTGGGTTTTTTTTTTAAAGATTTCTCTTTGATTACACAAAATGTGTAAAGTTCAAAATCGGTAACACAAAGTATACTTGAAACACACACACCCATCACCAGCACAATATTTTTTAAGTCTCTATATCCCCACTTCTTTGTAAACTATAATGTACTAGATAAAAGTGAGATTATTATAACAATAATGAGGAACAAAGCCTAGCAGATAACAAACTAGTCTTGAAAAAAGGGACCCAGTCCTACGTCCAAATCTTGTCCTTGACACATTCTAGGGTGTGATCCTGGGCAATTTGCTTAAAAATCATAGTACCCCATGCAAATCTCTAATACTATAATTTATAAACTAGCTGATTATCTTCCACTGGTGGAAGGAATTTGCACTGTAGGATTTCCATACATGAATGAATCACAGGTCTGGAAAAAAATCAATTATAATAAATTATTACTATACTCTCATTTTTTTCTCTTGATTAACTAAAACAAGACACTAGAACAAGGGTTACTAGGATCTTCTACTCATTGATGACTACTTTATTAAATAGTAGAAATGAAAAAGTAACTATAAATTTAATGGTGTTATTTGTTGAGCAGCATACATTTAGGAATTCAATATTGGAAATGTTGCAAATATGTACAGAAAAATGAATTTTAAGTAATCAGGAGTAATTATTAACTTCACATAACCTCAGCACAGGTTTTCTCCACATTTCCCACCAGCTTCACTGCTTTTGAACTTCTCTGGCCCTCTCCATCATGCTTTCCTACCCCAGGAAACTCATCATGGGAAAATCTCATTATCCTGCAAAACTGAATCTGCCTGGTCCTCACATCTCATAAGTCCCTTCTGCCCCTCTGACTGGAGGGTAGGGCCATGAGCTCCAGAGCCTCTATTTAAAAAGGGGGCTCAGAATTGATGTTCTCCACATTTCCCACCAGCTACACTGCTTTTGGACTTCTTTGGCCCTCTTCCATCATGCCCCACCATCAGGTACCTTCTTCCCCCTCCCCTCCTCTTCAGCTTCCTTTTTGTATGTTGTCTTTTCCCAACAGATTATAAACTACTTGGGGATTGACTGTATTTGTTTTTATACAGATTTGTATCCTCAGTGCTTAGCACAATAGTTGGTACACAGTACGCACTTCATATTTAATGATGGAAAACCAATAATTATTTTAAGATTAAAAACATTTTATTATGTATATGGGGGGAGGGGGGACGCCGTACTTTCACAAGTTTCACAAAAGCCATGAGCAGGTGTTACTAGGATAATTAAGTTCTGGTATTGCTACAGCAATAGGAAACTGAAAGGGACACTGAACTAGGAATCAGAAAGCCAGCAATCTAGTCCCAGCTGTTCCACTTATAGCTGTGAGATCTTGGACAAGTCATAACCATCCTGAATCTAAGTTTTCATACCTGTAAAATGGGGATAATAATAATGCCTCCCTTACCTCCTTCACAGCAATTTTTGTGAACATCTTTATTTCATATGAGTTGTAAAGGATGAGATAGGCAAGGAAGTTATGCTCTCAACTAAGAGATGCCTGTCCCAAGAACAACATGGATCCTAAACACATCTCCCCTGACAATTTAAAATTTTATGTAAGTCATTCATTAGGGGCAACTAGATGGTACAGTGAATAGAGCACCGGCCCTGAAGTCAGATGGAACTGAGTTCAAATACGGCCTCAGACATTTGACACTTACTAGCTGTGTGACCCTAGGCAAGTTACTTAACCCTGACTGCCTCAACCCCCCCAAAAAAATTAATGTGAGTTGTCATCTAGAGACTAAATTAACATTTAGTAAATAATACTGTTTGTATAAGAAATAACATTACTATTACTAGTATCACATTTTAGAAAAAGAGGCTGCAATGAAAAGTGACAGCAGCTTCAACAACTGGAATTATGGAGACAAGAAAATATTTTTTGGAAAGCGTCAAAGATAGTAAAGCAATTTTAGCTCAACTATTTCCAAATTCAATTATATTCCCACTTAAAAGTTCTTCCTAAACCATTCAATACTTAAAGTAATTCAATTTCAAAATACCAAAAAGATAAAACTACAACAGAGATGAAAATCATGGAAGTTTATAGATAAAGACAGCAGTAACAACAATATGAACTACTATTTCTTTTAATAAAATAAACAAGTACCTTTGTGGAAACGGGAAGTGTATCTGCTCCCCAATTTTCCCTGAAAAATCTTTAACACAGCTGAAATGTCAGATATGATTACAAAAAGGTACTATGTTCTTCACCTAGGTTTTTAATAGTTACCACAGCATTCCCTCAATTAAAGCTGAACTAAAGTTAATAAACTATTTTAAGGTACCAATAAAATAAGTAAAAAGCACAACTATTGGGCATTCAGATAAAAAAATCACTTCAGATAAAGTATCGATCAAATTTTAATGTATTTTTGGTGGACATCTTATTCTTAATTCACTGATTTAAACAAATCAATGAATCAATTATGCAAAACTGATTTAAATTCTGATAAGTTCATACCTCGCTTTTTAGCCTCAGCCACCATTTCATCATATTCTTGTCTATGACGTAAAGCTTCTTCAACTGATTTGGCAGGAAGATTTCTGAAAAATAAAATGCTAGAGTCAGTCAATTCTTTTTAAAAGATTGACTTTTGATGTGTTAATCTTTCCCTTTTTTAAGGCAAGGATTATAGAAAGGCCAATTTATACACTATATATGTTTCATATCTTAGTTACAATTTTTTCTGATTCAAAAGTTGACTATCTAAATTTCATTTGTATTACAAATGTGCCACTTATTATATAATACATATAGCCTAGCTTTTTATTTATTGAATCAATGAGAGGCAGCATGCTATTTCAGGAAACAACACTGAATTTGGAGTCCTTTCACTTACAGTAATGTTCATATTAACTGGAACAAATTCAAATAAATCTATCAAAACAAATATCCAACTTTTTACATCTTTAAAAAACTTTCAGCAATATGTCTTTTTGCTACCATCACTTATTTTACACAATTTGGCACTATGGTCACAAACTCTGATATCTATTATTTAATTCATCATGAAACTATCCTTTTATCGCATGGGTTATTAAACATATATGCACCAAAAAGTCTTTTTTTTTCCAGTCTAGCCCTGATTTAAAACCCTTAGGTTTTTAATGAGGTTTAACTCAAGAGAGTTCTCAGTCTAATCGCCATGTCTTGGATAAGTGCCTGGACCTCTCGTGGCATGTGGCATGGTGCCAGGCTATCTCCATTTGGGAAGAGCTGTAATTCTGGAGCAATTCTTCTTCTCAGCATTATCAGTATACTTGTCAAAGATCATCCTCCCATGAATGAAGATAAGACTTCCAAGACCACAGGAAGTAAAAAGTTCCCCAAAACACTTCTGATTACTTACATTTACAGGCTTATGAAGATGCTAACTTTTGACAATGGTTTTCTGAGCTTTGAATGAATGAGTCTTAGCTATCAAAATTACTTTTCCTCCAGTCTACAGTCATCTTTTTACACACTTTTGTCTTGCCCTTAATAAGTGACTCTTCTTCACAGCAATGATCTGAAATTGTTTTTTCACTCACCACATTCTTCCTGTTCTTTCAATGTCAATAAACTTACAGTACACTGTAAAGGAATCAATAATATTCCCCCCTCCTCCTCCAGCCTCCAGGTCCCTCTTTGCTTGTTACTTGAGGATAACTTAGGCTCTTTTATATAAATAATTTGTCAGCAGTTGGTGGTGTTTTTCATTTTTGACAAATTTTCCCTTGCATTTAAGTGTGACTGACTCTCTTTCATTGCAGGGTTGAATGAATCTTAAAATTCCTGACTTCCCCACAGCAACAGCTGTGGCAGTATCTCTAACAGTCATTAAAGTGTGCTTTTAAGAGCTACAATTTTTATACTTTTCCTTGGAAAAAAATAGCTATTCTTGAAAGACACAGAATTAAAACTAACAAAATAGAGCACTAAAATGAATGCATAGCACAAAATCCAGTACTTAAGCAGACAAGACTAAACATTGTTCTGGTTTCATCTGGTCAAAGTAAGATATTCTGAGAGACTCTCTTGCCAGTATAAACAAGTTATGTATCACTACTACTGACATAAACTAAAACCACATCAAAATTATTGACTGTCTCAGGTAATTCACATGACACTGTATTCGTGTCACAGACTTAGCTTCTGTGAGCCAAAGCTTCTTATCTATAAAATGGCACAGCAACATCAAAATTATTGACTGTCTCAGGTAATTCACATGACACTGTATTCGTGTCACAGACTTAGCTTCTGTGAGCCAAAGCTTCTTATCTATAAAATGGCACAGCAACATTTATACTACATCTCACACATGGTTGTCATGAAAATCAAATGAGACAATGCAAACAAATCACTTTTAATTATAAAGTGCTACATAACTATAGGCTATTATTATTATTGCATTTCAAAAGGGTGATGGAGAAGAAGCTTTCTCTAGCTGACTTTTATCAGGTCTCTTTAACTGAATCACAAAATAAAATCACATCAAATATTATGTTAGAACTGAAAGGAACCTTAAACATCATCTGCTGCAACAACTCATTTTACAGATAAAGAAACTGAGATCCAGATGAGATAAAATAATTAGCCAAATTTCCCTTAAGTTCCTAAATACACAGAGAGAAAACCCATTTTTGGTTACTTTAACATTAGTCTTGAATTTTTCATACATTACCTCTGAGTATAACATCTGTTTTATGCAGAGTGCAACTGTTCTAATACATATCACAGAGTAACCAGAGATTTGCCTGAAAAGGCCACTAATGTTTTATACAGCTGGCTGTAGAGAAAAGCAACGGCCAGTGTTATGCTCTCACTGTACAACTTCGTTATACAGTCTATTCAAGAAAATGGGAAAATTTGACAATTTCCCAGCAAAAGCAATACAGTCCAAATTGCTTTTTGTTGGTATGCAAAAAGAAAAAGAAAAATCATAAAAAGTATGCAAACAAAAATGCCTTCCCTTCCTTCCCTTCACCCCGACCTCATCTTGACCCATCCCATTTCCTTGAAAAAGAAAACTCTGCTGAGTATAATGTCATTTTTGACCAGTCTACAACACACCCTGTAACTACCTATTATACTCTGACAAATTTCAAGTCAGGCCACAAAATAGTCTTATTGTCTAGATTTATTATCTAACCCTAATAACCAAGACTTCTAGGTAGAAAAGTATGATTCCCTGGGCTCTTCAGAGAAACTATTCAATCATGGAATTTTTTAAGGTCCTAAGATTGCTTTTCCCTAAGTACCTTCTGACCAACTGACTGCTAAACCTATTTTGTTCAGCATTCCTTAAAGTCTGACAAGCCTCTCCTGTCTGATGATCTATTCCAGAAGACTAGATTATGTCCTGCTGTTTTGCTTCACAACTGCTAAATGCACAAATTAATAAGAATCTTTACCACTTAGGCCTACAATACCTCTTGCCTAACCACTTCCTCGACTCCTAAAAGATGTACTTAATACATCTTCTAGAATGGCAAAGAATATGGAAAATACAAAGCATGTACAATTAAAATTTCATAGTCAGACACAAGGATTTAGGAAGAACATGAGTGACACAGTCAAGTCTGTCCTTAAAGCTGTGGGGAGAGACATGAACAGGAAACCAATTAAAAATCTATCACAATGGTACAGACAAGTGGTGCTGAGGGTCAAGCTAGGAGTAGAGTGTTGTTGTAGAGGCAGAAACAGCAAGATCTGGCAACTGACTAAATATATACAGTAAAAGAGAGTGAAGAGCTGAAAATAATGCTGATGTTACAAACTTAGGAGAATGGAAATATAGTAGTTTGGAAGGGAGGTAGGTTTGTGATATAAAATAACGAGTTCCATTTTGGCCCCAATAAGCTTAAGATGTCTCTGTGTCAGCCTGTCTGAAACGTGCAACAGTCACCTGGTAAGGCAAGAATGAAGCTCACAGGACACAGGGTGCCAGATAGATCAATGACTCATAAAGTTCCTTGTCAATTTCTTTTTATCTGGGCAGTCCATTGGATTTCTCCCCACCTTTGTACCAAGTGACTGGCCCGTATCTTTTTTTTTCTCTTTTGTTTCATGGATGATATCATTTATGCCAACGTCTCTGAAACTGTGGGTCACAACCCAATATGAGGTTGCATAACTGAATGTGAGGGTTACAAAAAATTTGGCAACAGTAAATGGTTTCTGAATATGCAACGACCAAAAATTAATTTAAAATCAAACATGCAATGAAGCAGAGGTGTTTCTGGCAGCGCTTGCCATGCTGCATCACGTGACTTCACTGCAGCCTTGGTTCTAACACACAATGTGTGCACTTTGCACTGCACATGCCGTCACCCCACACAATGCCCATGAACTGCTAGAAACACCTTGGCTGAGATTTGAGACTACTTTGTTATTAATTGCAGTGTTTTTACTGTACATACTTCTGCTCTTGCAGAAACATAATAGTTTAATTACAGAAAATAAAGACTTTTAATATTTTCCCACTGTCATTCCTCAGCAGGTAAGTATCAAATTATTATATCTTTGGATTGTATTGTGTTAGAATGTTTTATTCTTAAAATTGCTGTTATCTCCTTCTTTTACAGAAATATAAGTGTTTAATTGCAGCAAGTAAAGACAAAAGCTCTTTAATAATATTTCTCTACTATCACCACTGTATTTGTATGTAAATGCAAACATCAGTATTTAAAATTAGGCACAAATACAATTTCATAAATGAAAGCTAGTATTTATTTGAGAAAGTATTAGCAATATTTATGTTTTAGGACAAAAATATTTTAGGTTATGAGTGGCTAAATTCAGACATCAAAGGTAAAAATGCTGATGACAATGCAGCAGAGTCTTTACAACCAGGTTGCAGTATACCCTGACAAGAAAAAGAAAACATGTCGAATCATGTGGCTCTCAAGAAGGCAAAGTTTAAACATATTATTGAAACTGAAAGACGAAGTTGTATTTTTGACTGAGTAGAAATGCAATTCTGTTAATTTTTTTCATAATGATACAGCTTTCAAAACTGTGTTCTCTGTTGGATATTTTGGAAAAACTCAATGATTTAAACATGTCGCTTCAAGGAAAGAATTATAACTTATTTATGTTAAAAGACAAAATTGAAAGTTTTACTAAAAATGTTAATATATGGAAGAATAGAATAGAAAATGTTTCTTTAGAAATATTTACAGCTACAGATAATTTTATACTTGAAAATAACCTTTCCAAAGATTTAATCATAGGAGTTATAACTGATCATCTGAAGTGCCTGGAGATGCAGCTTCAGAAATACTTCCCTTAAAATTCGGATTCTAAAAAACTAGGTTGGGTTCATAAACCATATTCAGTTGAAATAAAAAATGTCAGTCATCTACCATTAAAAATTCAAGAGACTTCCGCTTCCGGGAGCCAAGATGGCAGAGTGAAAAGGTAATTGCTCTCACTCTCCCCTATCAACCTCTGAAAACCCAGAAAATACCACCCCAGAAAAAAACCCTGGAACAGCTGAAGTAGAAGAAAGACTGGGAGCAGCAGTACAGTAGCCCAGCAAACGAGTCTCCCAGTGCCTCAG